CTGGGCGAGACCAATGATGGTGGTCATCAAGCTCATTTCACCATGGTGGTATGCAGAGTGCTCGGAGATGTAACCAGCCAGTTGTGCGACCTGATGAGACAGAGCATACGTGAAACGCACTCAGTTACCGACAGCTGAGCAAACTATTGACTCTAGGAACATCTTGCCGGAGAAGTTTCTTCCGCACCTTCACATCACTCTTCAGCTTTCTCTTAAAGCAACTGAAGAGGATCTTTCTTTGGCCAGGCTTGAGGCCATCCATGACAGATGGAATGGATCGCAGGTTGTCCGCAATGGAGAACAGGACCAGCTCCTTGTTGACAAAGTCGCTGTAGGTGATCGTCTTGGCACTTTGATCCAGGAAAGTCCCAGGCTGACAATTACAACAGAGAAGAAATAAGAATGTGATAATAACATCAGCAGCCAAGACAAGGGACAATAACATCAGCAACATATCTCACGCATAATTACCTCCACATTTCGCAGCCAGGTCTTCCTGTCCTCCACCTTCTTTTTGCTAAACGCCATCTCAATGCTTTCGCCATCCTCTTCTCCCGTCCACTCAAAGCTCTTCCGGTGCTGATCAAGGGCTGCAAAGTACTCCTTGGCTTCCTTCGGTGTGCTTGTTCCCAGACCCTGTGAGACCACGAACAGAGAATGTTAAGTTAAAATATCAGAAACATCTAGTGCCGTAGGCACCAGCACAGGAACTTGCCTTATAGTACTTGATGGACCATCCTTTGGTGCTTCCTCCAAGGGATTCTTTCCATGACTCGTACTCGGGTATCGTGTAGAAGGAAATGACCTTTCCACGGGGCCCAGTAGCCTGCACAGCACAGAATGTTCAAACTTAGAAAACAATATCCAAACAAGGAAAACCGAATCGGAGTTATCGCCAGCACTCATCTAACCTTGACGATGGGCGTGATGAACTCCAGAAGGAAGTTGGGCTGCTTCAGGAGTGACGGCCAAAAGGCGTGGAGGAAGTTGATGAGGAGGCCCTTGATATGAGATCCGTCGTGGTCCTGCATTGGGAGACTCCTCAAGTGAGAAACCGTGTATTTATTTTTTCCCCAGAAGACTAGATTTGCCCGAGCTGCTTACCTGATCAGTCATGATCATCAGATGGCCGTATCGCAGGGATTTGGTGCTGTCGTAGTGCTTTCCCTGCTGAAGCCCCATGATTTGCTTGATGTTGGTGATTTCTGCGTTCTCTGTCAACTGCTTGGCAGGGGCATCCCTGACGTTCAGTAGCTTCCCACGCAGCGGGAATACTCCATACTTGTCACGACCGACAACACTTAGACCGCTCACCTGAAAACACGCAAACGCAAAAGTTATTCGACTGAGACACCTTATAGCAGCACTGTTACATCAATTGCAGATATGTCAGATACTTACCGCAAGAGCCTTTGCAGAGTCTCCCTCCGTAAGAATCAAGGTGCACTGCTCCGAGTTGCGTCCACCTGCATCGTTCGCGTCGTCCAGCTTCGAAATTCCCGTGAGCCGCTGCTTCTTGCTTCCATCGCTCTTCTTCATATCCTTGTTCGCCTTGAAGGTTGCGAAGGAGAGGATGCTGTCGATCACACCCGATTTTGCGACTGCAATAAAAAAATTACACTGCAGGTCAGTAACTGTCCAGCATGGGACTTGAGAACGAGATCGAGAACGAACTGAAATTACCTTTCTGGAGGAAACTGTCCGGTAGCTTGCACGTAGAGCCAAACTCGCTCGCCCGGGTGTTCAACGTCTCCTTGGTCTGCGAATCGAACGCCGGGTTGACGATCATCGAGTTCACGAAAACCCACAAGTGGCACTTCACTTGATGGGCCTTAATAGCCGGCGCACCCTTCCCTGCCTTCTTCTGGGCCTTCTCTATGAGGAACTTGGTCACTTGGTCAGCGACAAGATTGACGTGGGTGCCACCCTTGATTGTCGCGATGCTGTTGACGAAGCTAACCTGCTGAAACTGGCCGTCACTCAGTGAAACGCAAACCTCCCAGTTGTCGTTGATCTTCTCGTAAATCCTGCCAGAAATCCCAGAACGAGGTTCAGCTCACACTGAAGTTCGAAATTCATGAAAGCTAGCCACGTAATCGCTGACGCTGATTGCACTCACTTCGGCAGAGGGCCAGGGACTTCGCCACTGGACTTGGACGAGTCGAGGTAAAGTCCGACGTAATCTTGGAAATTCTTCATGGGAATCTTGCTTCCATTCAGCTCGACCTTGACAGTTTTCCCGAGCACTCCAGCCATGTCCACCACACGCTTGCTCATGAGAGCCACGTGATCAGCATCAAGATGTGTCAGCTTGAACTTTGCCAGGTCTGGATGGAACATCACGCATGTCCAGCTTTCTCCGGACCTGGTTTTTGTAATCTCGGGCTCCGACTTCTTGCTCATGTTGTCGTTGAAAACCTGTTGACAATGCCAGGAAAATCCCGTCAGAACCAGGAAGGAAGCATAGGACGAGACATTTGATTAAGTACTGAAGAACAAGCTTGCATTGTTGTGGTGAACGTCCTACCTGACGATATTGCTTCTTACGATCGCCGTCTGCAGTCTCGATGACGAATTCTGTGGAGAATATGTTAGCGAGCTTAGCACCATAACCGTTCCGGCCTCCCGTCGTCTTTTTCTCCGTATCATCGTAGTTGCTGCTGGTGAGGAGATGGCCAAAGATCATCTCCGGAACGTAGCAGTTCTCGTCCGCATGAATCTCGATCGGAACACCCTTGCCGTTGTTCCACACCTGAAGCAGGAAAATGGTTTCCGTGAGAACGGCTTCATCGATATACTGACTCACTCTTAGCTATCTTGGAATGCAACTCACCTTAATCATGTTCTTTTCCGGGTCAATGTTCACTTTGAGCAAGTCCATGGAGGGATCTCTCTGTTTGTTGTCGGCAGCGTTGACGAGAATCTCGTCGAAGATCTTGTACAAGCCAGGGACGATGGTCGCCTCGCGATGTACCATTCTGCCATTCTCGTAGACCCACAAGGTCTGCGTGTGGCTCTGAACTGATCCGACGTAAGTGTCTGGCCTTAGGAGGACGTGTTCTAGCGGAGTTTTCTTCTGGTATGTCTGCTCAATTGTCCTTCCCTTGCTGATGTTTGCTGCCGTGCTGAGCTGAAGAGGTTCCTTGGCCTTCTTCGCTGCAGCTTTCGGTGCAGCATTCTTCTTCGTCTGCAACGCAATTCATCAGTTAACGTAAAGAGAACCGCTTTGCTGCATAATAATTTCGAACATATATTGCGTACTTACAAGTGGAATGAAGTTCTCGTCATCGCTCATATAGTCGATATCCATGTCTACCGGTTCTCTCTGGCTCCTAAGGTTGTCCTAAACAGGATGGATAATAGGTGGGACCTGAGTAAACTACTGACTGCTTCTCAGACCCCACTCAACACAATCGGTACCTTCACAGAAGCTCAGCTGGGAGTCTGGGAATCAAATTGAAGAGAACGAGCTTAACTTCATTCACAACTCCCCTGTTGTGCGATAATCCCAAAGCAATGCCAGCCTGAATGAATGCCATTTCATGACCACACCATAACAGGCATGGGGGAGGGGGGGTAGACAGTCCGAGCCGCCTCGAGTCAGTCACCAGAATTCCGCGCCAAATTTCAAAATCCGTAGGCTGCACCGCAGACTGCAAACCCTCCGAATCGTCAGAGGCTTCTGCATTCCGTCAGAAAGGGTCATCACCTGGCATGGATGGCCATCATGTACACTTCCAACTTATATTTGAACATTTGTTAACCTCATGCACATGAGCAGTCTTAATGAACATAAATATGTTTTACTTTATACTGGAATTGGATTATAACCTATAATGAAATAAAGTTTCATCATTTTAGGGATTAATAACTCGAAATCGTTATAATATATAGGGTAATTCAGAAACTGTGTTATATGAAGGACGCTAAAGTTTAGGTATTGTATGTGACACATGTGAGTGAGTGCTTTTTTTTTCCGTTTTGTTTTACCAACGCGACATCTTTTATACAAGCTAGTTTATTTTGACATTATTGTAGGAGTAAATGGTTTTCCGACGTTAGATGATTACAATCCACACAGGCTGACGTGGATGATGCTACGGCTCGCAACGCAACCTACCAATAGCTAGCACCCAACTAGCACCTACTAGCAGCACATTTCCCAGCTCGTTCCCAACACCAACGTTTGCTCCTGCAACTCGAACAACTGGTTCAATTTTAGGTCCTTATAATTACCTGTTCCTAGCCACTGTGCTTTGCAGGCATGATCTATGAGTAAAACTTAGAGAGCGCGATCGCACCTCATGGGTGCCTGTACGGCTTCCGTGGCATGGTATTGCATTTCGCTGTCCCTTCTCACAGGTACGTCTATCATGGTTAAGTTTTAATAATATCGTTTCCGAGTTGACGGAAAATCAGGTGATCCAATAGACTGTCTCTCCATTAGGTGCATCCCGGTCAGCTGTTGAGTGCTCGGACGGCTTAGCTTCAAAATGCCTGTCATTATGTAGATGCGCTACGTCCCCCAACGGACTTGATTGAGTCAAATTGTCCTTGGTGCGTCCGGCGCTTCAAATGCGTCATCCAGTACTTGTCGGTTACAGGTATCTCTCTTTCACCCTGCTCAATTTCTGAGTCGACTCAAATACTGACCACCGTACTATTTCCGCCAACGGAGTTAGGACTGATCATTTTGTCCTTGGTGCAACCGGCGCTTCAATTGCGTCGTCTGAGCGTTTTTTTGAGATCTCTAAAAAAACCTCCAACGGGCTTCGGGTTGCTTATTCTGTCCTTGGTGCGACCGGCGCTTCAATTGCGTCATCCAGTTCCTGGTACTGTTTCCGGGTACAGGTTCCTCCCTTTCAGCCTGATCGAATCCCCTTGCCGATCCGAAGGTCGGCTCGGAGACCACCTTCCACTTCAGAGTCAATGGCACGGCCTCCCTCACCCCACCTTTCATCCCCCGTTAATTTCAATGACCTGCTGGGCCCGGTGGTGGAATGGAGGGGCAGCCTAGGAACGTCTGTCTCCTCACTACTCAAAACCTTACCGCATGCACCCACCTCACCTCTCAGCAGGATGAGCTGCTGCTGGGCCGCGTGGCGGAGATGGAGGAGCAGCTCAACCAGCAGCTGCTGGAGGGACCTGCTGAGGGCACCACCTCCCAGCTCAGAGGCATAGACACGGCTTCCCTGTTCCTCTCTATGCCATCCCTCGTCCCTTCCCTCATCCCGTCCCTCATCCCTCTCAGCGCTAGTCGCAGCGCAGTCATCAGATGAGCTGCTGCTGGGGCGTGTGGCGGAGATGGAGGAGCAGCTCAACCAGCAGCTGCTGGAGGGATCTGCTGAGGGCACCGCCCAGCCGGCTGGATCGACAAACAAGGCTGCTGCCACTGGCGGATCTGGGAACGGCGCTGCAATGTTAGTCTTCTGTTCCCTTTGCGTGTGTGTTTGTGGTTTGGTTTCCGCCTTCCATGCGGGATCGTCGCTCCCACGTTCACAGAAGGTCTGCTGAAAACCACCTCGCTTCTTTGAGCATATTCATCTGCAAGTTAAATAGCACCTCTTCTATACTCGCTACTTGTCCCTGCATCCCTCTCCCTCCCCCCCATGCATCACGCCAGTGCATCCTTGCCACCGCGTCCCACCTTCTCAGAGGGCCTGCTGAAGACCGCCTCTCTCCCCCACGGCATCTACCGCAACAAGCTGAATATCGCCTCTTATTAATCGCCTACTAGTCTCTGCATCCGTTTTTCCCTCCCCTCCCCTCTACATCCACCTCAGTGACGCCCTGCCACCGCGTCCCACCTTCAAAGAGGGCCTTCTGAAAACCACATCTCTCCCTCGCGGCATCTACCGCGACAAGCTCAATAGCACCTCTCCTATATCTGCGACTTGTTCATCCATCCCTCTCCCTCCCCTCCCCTCCACATCCACCTCAGTGACTCCTTGGCACCGCGTCCCACCTTCACAGAAGGCCTGCTGAAAACCACTACTCTCCCCCGCGGTATCTACCGCAACAAGCTGAATAGCACCTTCCTGGAATACCACCGAAATGTGCACAAGGGGGAGGTAGAACTGCACTGCATGGGCGGCACCTGCCCGAACCTAGACATCTGCGGCTTGGCGTTCCCGAACGTGCGAGCCTGCTTCTGGCCGAACCTGGTAGATGAGGATTATATTTACCCAGCCCAGCCTGAGAATTGCCCGAAGCTGTCGAATTGGGAGGAGGTTGGGGCGAAGGGGGCGGACCCTAGGTGCACCCACCCTGGGGATAACCTGAGATTTGATAAGTATGTGCCGCAGTATTATGAGATCAAGGACGTGTTTGTGGATGCTAACGGGGTGCTCTTTAACGAGTCGCTGCACTTCTTCCGGCATGGGTGCTTCAAAGACAAAGAGGTGAGGTGAGGCGATGAGGTGAGGTCAAATCGGTTTCCTTTACAATCTCAACTCATTTCCCCTTGTTCAAAGTCGCAAAGCAGTTCCCCTTGTTCAAAGTCGCAAAGCAGTTCCCCTTGTTCAAAGTCGCAAAGCAGTTCCCCTTGTTCAAAGTCGCAAAGCAGTTCCCCTTGTTCAAAGTCGCAAAGCAGTTCCCCTTGTTCAAAGTCGCAAAGCAGTTCCCCTTGTTCAAAGTCGCAAAGCAGTTCCCCTTGTTCAAAGTCGCAAAGCAGTTCCCCTTGTTCAAAGTCGCAAAGCAGTTCCCCTTCCTGACACCCTTTTTATCGCTTGCTCCCTCCCTGCCCGTCCACATATTCTCTCTCTGCCCACACTCGCTCCCTGTTGCAGTTTGCCTACCATGCCAACCAGACCAGCGTGCAGCACCACCACCGCCTCACCTCATATCGCTGCTGTACCAGCTTCTAGTAAACTCAAACTTGTTGCCCTACCTGCTCATTTACTCTCTCGTCTCTCTCCCCCCTGCAGTTCGCCTACCACGCCAACCACACCAGCGTGTAGCACCACCACCGCCCCATATCTCTGCTGTACCAGCTGGGCAGGTCCTACGGAGCCTTTGCACAAAAGAAGCTGTAGTGCTGCACAGTTACGAATCAGCCCCCCCTCTTAACGCCCTGTTGTCCCTCTTGCTCTTCCCCCCACAGTTCGCGTACCATGCAAATCAGACCAGCGTGCAGCACTACCACCACTCCATATCTCTGCTGTGCCAGCTGGGCGGAATTGTGTTGTGAGGCGCCTTACAAACAGTTCTGTCTGTTCACTCTCTCTCTCTCCCCCCTGCAGTTCGCCTATCATGCCAACCACACCAGCGTGCTGCACTACCACCGCCTCGTGTCTCTGCTGTACCAGCTGGGGGGGGCGTTCTACCACACGCTCATCGAGGTGGTGCCGCACTTCCTGCTGCTCGCCCCGCTGCTGAAAGACAACCCTGGCATGCCCATTGCTGTCAGCCGCAAACAGGCAAGCCCCTCTTTATTGTACCTTGTGGGAAATAGGCGGAAAGAGGGAAGGAGGGTGGGGGAGGGGGGAAAGGGCGTTCTACCACATGCTCATCAAGGTGGTTCCGTGCTTCCTGCTGCTTGCCCCGTTACTCAGAAACAACCCCGGCATGCCCATTGCTGTCAGCCGCAAACAGGCAAGCTTCTTTGCTGTACCACACCAGTTGTGGGAGGGAGGCAGGAGGGGGATAGGTGGGGGTGTTGGGGAAGGGCTTTCTTTCTACCTCACTTCACTTGTGCCTGGATCATTGTCTTCCACATGTGCCACATGGCATCCTCCCTGAAGCTGCACGACTCTGTGCGACCGATTCTAAGAATCAGCTTGATGGACTTGATTGATGTCTCAAAGTCACCTTGAACCATACCGCACTCCTCTCTTCTCTCCTGCTCCCCTCCCTGCCAGCACAGCTGAAGCTGGACGACTCGGGGCTGCACCCCATCGTGGGCATCATCAGCTCACGTGACTTGACTTTTGAGTCCGCTCACTGGTCGCTCTGACTTGCCCCATTGCTCCTCTCCTCCTCCCCGCCAGCACAGCTGAAGCTGTACGACTCGGTGCTGCACCCCATTGTGGGCATCAGCTCGCGCGAGCTGAACCTTGTTCTCGTGGACGATCACAACCAGAAGCTGCTGCTGCACGCTGACATGGCGTACCAGGTGCGTTAGGCATGAGCAAAGGGCGAACTCGAACATGTTCGAGTTCGCCCACCCTCGAACATGTACTTTTGCCGAACCGAACACTGTTCGGTTCGGCGAACTATTTAGCTGAAAATATATGTTCGCCGTTCGCCCTAGGTGGCGAACGATTTTTTTCAGCAGGCGAACACGAACATGTTCGAGACGAACATGTTCGTGTTCGCCCAGGGGAAAATTCACTATAGTCACACATGTCAGAAAACAGTTTTCAAGGTCCAGGATGATAGCAAAATGTGTGCAAGGTGTATATGTGTGCATGCAACGAACCCAATAGTACAACATAACATACTGTGAAGGGAAATGTCAAAGTCTAACAAATTCCTACACTAAGGCGCCACTGCTACTACCAACAACAGCATCCTCTGCTGCAGCTGTGTCGTCAGCCTCCACACCCTCCTCCTCCTCCTCCTCCTCCTCGTCATCCTCCTCTGCCCCCTCGCCCTCAATGGCGAACTCTGGTGGTGCGACGCCTCTCGGTCGGCGGCCCTCGCCAATCCTCTGGCCAGGGTGTGAACTGTACCATGATCTGAGAATCATGACAGCTCGCGTCCTCTGAGAGGCCAGGCGGTGCCGCTTCCAGGAAATGAGGTTGCGACCAAGGGAGAACACCCGCTCACTCGAAGCGGACGTGGCAGGGATGGCGAGATAATCCCGGGCCATGCGCCTCAGCGTCTGCATGTTGGTGGCACTGCGCCAGTACTCTAGCGCTGTCACGTCGCACCGCACCCTCTCGGACAAGTACCTGCTAACCTCGTCATCCTGCACCATCCCACCCGCCCCCGCCTCCTGGCTCGCCGACAGACGCGCCGCAAGTCGTCGGCGACTAGGAAGAAACTGCGCGTCATCGTCGTCCTCCTCCTCGTCTCCCTCCTCCTCCTCCGCAACGGGGGCAAGTGGGGTCGGCCGTGGAGCAAGCTCTGCAGCCCGGGCCTGGTACTCGGCCACGCGGTCGCGCACCAGCTTGATCACCTCGCCCGACGCCGGACGCGGCCTCACCCTCCTGTCGGTCTCGGGATGCAGCTTCTCCCAGTGCGCGTCGTCGAACCACGCCGCCTTCATGGATGGGTCCAAGAAGGTGGCGATCCAGTACTCGTTGCTGGTGATGTACGCGTACTTCTTCAAGTGGCTCAGCGCCGCCACGATCATCGGCTGCAGCGTCGGAGATGGCCCCTTGGCAAGGCGCGACTCCATGGCGTCGATCAGGCCGTTGTAGTACTGCACCACCATCGACACAGTCGGGTACGCCGCCCCCTCTGCTGCCTTGGAGACCTTGGCGAAGGGGCTTAGGAATGTCTTCACCGCCTGCAGGGTCTCCCAGTCTGCGTCTGTCAGGCGCAAACTCTCCACTTTCTTCTTGTCGGTCTTCGACAAGCCCTGTCGGGTAGAGGGAATGGTTTGAGGGGAGGTATGAGGGAAAAGAAACTCTGATTATGGAGGAGGATTATGGCATCCGACCGGCAACATACAAGCATGACCAACAATATTGTGTAGACGTGCTAACACACCACACCCACACAAAACACAAGTGTTACCTGTGTCTGGGAGAAGAAGACAGTGATGGGGTTCTGCAGAACACCCGCACGCTCTACCATGTCGTGGGTCGACCCCCAGCGCGTAGGACTGTCCTGCACCAGCTTCAACGCCGGCTTCGGCGTGGCGGGGTTGGCCTGCGAGTTCAAGGTCCGCCGTAGGCCCAAGAAAGACCCCGAGCGCTGTGGAGAGAAGCCAATCCGCGACGCCATCTCTCTCAGTATCTTCAGCAACTTCCGTATGGAATCCACAGATAGTGCTGCCTGCACTGCAAGGTTGATCACGTGTGCCAAGCACCTGCGCACGGAACAAAACATTAGGGAAAGAGATAAGGGGAAGTTGGAGGACACATGGTTAGAGCGAGCCACAAAACCAACAAAGGCAAACACACGCCCACAAAGGCAAACACACGCCCGCACTCCCGCACGCCCAACCCACGCACACTCCCACACTCACCGGAAGTGCATGCGCGAGCTGAAGAAGCACTGACCACCACCCTCCTCCGACATCCGCCTGAAGGCGGCAATGTTGCTAGAGGCGTTGTCTGTCGTGAAACCAAGACAACGCCCCTCCAACCCCCACTGCACAATCGTCTCCTCAACCACCTGCGCCATCTCCCTGCCCCCATGCCGCCCGAGCATCTCACGGAACTCAAGCACCATTGTGCGCAGCTGGAAGTTCTCGTCTATCCAGTGACCTGTCACCACTAGCCATGCCTTGTTGTTGGGTGCCGTCCACATGTCGATGGTGATCGACACCTTGCACCCCAACTCCCCCTCCTTCGCCAGCATCTCCGCAATGGCGGACTGGAGAGCTGCTGTTGCATAAACCACAGTGTCGTGGGATACCGTCCACCGCGAGGGGATGAAGTTCTTCTGTGCGCAGTTGCGGTTTAGCAGGATCAATAGCTCCCGAAACTGGAGGAAGGTAGAGTAGAGACAACTGTGAATGGTGGATATCCGAATGGTGGACATGTGAATGGTGGATATGTGAATGGTGGACATGTGAATGGTGGACATGTGAATGATGGACATGTGAATGATGGACATGTGAATGGTGGACATGTGAATGGTGGACATGTGAGTGGTGGACATGTGAGTGAATGGTGGACATGTGAATGGTGGACATGTGAATGGTGGATTACAATAGAAGTATGAAATAGTCAACCACATACTGCCAAAACACCAGGCATGGGACACTCATGGCCTCGGACTCGACGATGCGGAAGGGGAGGTCGCAGGTGACCACCAGCTTGGCGATCGCCTGCCGTAGCTCCTCCGTGGACAACTTGGTTGTCATGAACCGCTCCATCCCGCCTGACCCCTCAGCTCCACCGGACGCCGTCCCTTTCTTCTTTGCGAGATGCGGCCAAGACTTGGCATGCGGCCACCCATCGACGTAGCCATCCGGCACACCCTTGTAGCCCCCACGAGGAAACGTCTCCCCAGGCAAGTGAACGGACGGAGTGTGGTAACGGTGATGCCACACGTGCATGTGCGCTGTGTGGTAGCTCTCGAAGTGCCGCTCGCCGGGTGTTGTTGTGGATTGCTTCCACGAAATCCTGTCAGTGCAAATCTTGCACTGACGCTTCTCGTCTGCCCCTTTAGGCCCGAACATCTGTACTTGCCACCCCGGTTTTTTATTACCCTTGCCAGTCCCCTTACTACTCTCGGACCCTCCGTCCTCGTCTAGGAACTCCGGAGCGACCACACCCTCGCCCAAGGGCTTCCCAGTGAATGTGCAGGGATATGCTCGCTCCCTCAACTTGCTCGCCCTCTTCCTCCGCTTCGGCATCCTAATGGATGCCCGCTTTCTCCCCACCTTAACCCCCACGCTCCCTCCTCCTTCAGCCACATGCTGTGAGGCCGCCTCTGTCGCCGCCCCTTCACCACCCTCTCCCACCCCCTCCTCCACCTCCTCTGGCTCCAACCCATCCATCTCATGGTCCTCCTCATCATCCCCCCCTTTCCCACCGCCATGCGTCTCGGGATCCCACCCGGCCTCACTGTCATCCCCGCTCCCCTCATCGTCCTCATCCTCCTCGCCCTCACCCTCCTCCTCCTCATCCTCCTCCCCACTGCCACTCTCCGGCTGCGTCTGCCCAGAAGGAGGGGGTCGCGGGCCTGAGTAACGGAACGAGTGACGGGACGTCGGCGCCGCTACGGAAAGAAACCCCGCGACGAAACAAGCGCCGGCTCCTGCAGGTCCATCCCCTACTCGCCCCTGCATAGGTCGTGGTGGAGAACCTGGTGTACCGCCCTGAGCGCTGCGTGCACCTCGTTCTACAGATCCATGTTGGCTGGAAGCCATAAATCAGCCCTCGGCCTTAAAACCCTAAAACCCCAAAGGAACGGTCGCAAGCCACGGATAGCACGGTCCTAATTGAACTCCTAGTTACGTGTGGCACGGAGAAATGCCGCCCCTACAACTAGGGAATTAGCCTCTACGAAATTGATCCCGTAGCTACTACGAACTAACCCCTCGCGATTTCTGAAATTACCCTTCACTACTACGAACTACTTAGTTGAAATGTTCGTGTAATAATTAGGGAACGGTGTGTGGTGGCTCTTAGGGATGAAGCCTATGGTGGGTGAGGGAGGGAGGGCTAACCAACAAAGATGTGTTGAGTTTGAGCTCAAAAAATGAGCTCAAACTCAACTTGGCCGCGACCTAAATTTGGTCGCGGCCAAATTTGACGCGAACACTTTAGTGTTCGCGTCATCCACTGGACGAACACGAACATGTTCGTGTTCGTCCACACTCCACCAAATGGAGGTGGCGAACGGCGAACATGTTCGGGCGAACACCGAACATGTTCGCCTCGAACTATTTTTTCCAAAAAAAAAAATAGTTCGGTTCGCCTTGCTCATGTCTAAGGTGCGTGCTGACGTGGTGTACCAGGTGCGCGCTGATGTGGCGTTCCACATAAGTGCTGATGTGGCATACCAGGTACATGCTGACATGGCGTGCCAGGCTCGTATGTGCTGACGATTTGGACGTGCTCCTCCGCTCCCTCACTGCTCTCTGTTTGACAATATTTGCATATTCCCCCAGACCCAATCCATTCAGCACCCTGCGTACTCACTTCTTCCGCGGTGTCCCCCTTTCTGTTCTCCTCGGTACCCCAAGCACTGCCCTCAGCACCCCCATGTGCTTGTCCTCCCTCCCCGCGGACCAGGCGTGTGACGAGAGCTGAGGCGGCGCTACCTCGTAAATTTATCTACTCCCTCTTTCTTCCCCGCCCACACCCCCTTCCTACCTCGAATCCCACTGCAGCCTGTGTTCCAGGCATGCGGCAGGGCGGCACCAGGCGTGTGGCGGGAGCCCAGGCAGCGCTACCTCGTGAATCCATCAACTTCCTCTTCATTTCCTTACCCCCTCCCCTTTCCCCCTCACACACCCTCCCCCCCAATCCCACTGCAGCCTGTGTTCCAGGCATGCAGCAGGGCAGCGCCAGGCGTGTGGCGGGAGCTGAGGCGGCTCAAACCAGCTCTATGCTCCCTCCCACCCACTCGCTCCCTCACCCAACCCCTCCCCCCATCCCCACTGCAGCCTGTGTTCCAAGCATGCGGCAGGGCAGCGCCAGGCGTGTGGCGGGAGCTGAGGCGGCGCTACCTCGTGAATCCACCGTCTCCCGCTTCCTTACCTCCCCCTCCCCCACCCACCGCCACTGCAGCCTGTGTTCCAAGCATGCGACAGGGCAGCGCCAGGCGTGTGGCGGGAGCTGAGGCGGCGCTACCTCGTGCCGGCCGACGGCCTCCCCATGTTCGGCCCGGGCTTTGCTCCCCGACACCCTGGCAACAGCAGCAGCAGTGACAGCACTGGAAACAGCAGCACCACCGCCACCAATAGCAGCAGCATCCCCCCTCCGTGGACGGACGAGCAGATGACGCGGCTGCCCGCCAGCTGGCTGGCTGTGATTGCTCGGCGCCACAAGTCTAAGCGCCGCATCGCTGGCTTCCCGCAATTGGTGGATTCCATGAAGCAGATCTTCCACCCTTCTAGGGTCTATGTCTTCGATGGCAAGCTGAATGTCACCCAAGGTTAGTTGGGAGAGCACCGTACCGTCTGGATGTTTGTTGTTTGCATGCCATCACAAGTCCAAGCGGCGCCTCTCGCGCTTCCCACAGTTGGTGGATTCCATGAAGCAGATCTTCCATCCTTGCAGAGTTTATGTGTTCGATGGCAAGCTGAATGTCACCCAAGGTGCGCTGGGTTGGGAGAATGGTTCAGTCCACGCGGAGTGGTTTGAGTGCCATCAGAAGCCTGTCAGGTCCAGTCAATTGGTGAACTCCATGAAGCAGATCTTCCACCCTTCCAGGGTGTATGTGTTCGATGGGAAGCTGAATCTCACCCAAGGTGTGTTGCGCTGGGGTAACAGTAAAGGTGAGTTGGCGAGTTGGGGGCAGTTGACAATCTGGGTGCTCTTTGTGTGACTGATTGCTCGGCGCCACAAGTCCAAGCGGCGCATCGCTGGCTTCCCGCAATTGGTGGATTCAGTGGAGCAGATCTTTCACCCGTCAAGGGTCTATGTGTTTGATGGCAAGCTGAATCTCACCCAAGGTGAGATGAGTTGGAAGCACGGCTTGAGGGCCATCACAAGCCACTCGGGTATAGCCATTGGTGGACTCCATGAAGCACATCTTCCACCCTTCTAGGGTCTACATGTTCGACGGCAAGCTGAATGTCACCCAAGGTGCCTTTTGAGTCGACTCAAAAGCCAAGGTGCGCTGGGTTGGGTTGCCATCACAAGTTACCCGGGTCTAGCCATTGGCGGACTCCATGAAGCACATCTTCCACCCTTTTCGAGTTAACGTATTTGATAGCAAGCTGCCTCTCATCTCGCCCAAGATGAGTTGGACCAACCTGGTTACGAGCTCGTTGGAGCTGAAGCCCAGCTTCCTTGCCCTCTTGTCCCTCCCCTCCCCCCTCCCATCCCAGCCAAAACCGTGTTCAACAGGGCAGCAGTGTTCGTGGGGTTCCACGGGGCAGGCCTGCCTGGCCAACATGTTCTTCATGCCTCTCAACGCCAGCACCTCGTCTGTCTCCTCCTGTCTTCCCATTGCCTCCTGTCTTGCCATCCCACATCCTGTTTTCCCCTTCCCCGACTGTCCCTCCCATCCCAGCCAAAACCGTGTTCAACAGAGCAGCGGTGTTTGTGGGGTTGCACGGGGCAGGCCTGGCCAACATGGTCTTCATGCCCCTCAACGCCAGCATCTTTGAAATCCGCCCCCGCGGCTACCCCAACCCGTGCTACCACCACCTCGCCACAGCCACTCAGATGCACTACCATTTGATCCTCGGAAACGGCACCAAGGACAGCGAATTGAAGTTTAATCATACCGAGGCTGTTGAGGTGCTGAGACTGATTGCCAATCGCACAAGAGCAAGAATGTCAGCTGAAAAGTTTGAGTCGATTAATTTGTTGCCGCCGCTGGAGGCGGTGGGGGAGGAGGATTGGGAGGAGGGGGGTGGGGAGGATGGGGAGGAGGATGAGGACAATGGCGGAGGGGGGAATGCGGAGTTGACTATACCTCTTGAGCTTATGGCGGATGTGACTCTAAAGGCGCTGAATGACACAGATGTAGGGGCGGAGGAGCAGGAAGAGGAGGTGAAGAGTCTGGAGGAGAAGACTTTGAAGAAGATGGAGGGAGAGAGGGCCGTGACGATTGGGGAGTTGAGCGAGGATTTGAAACGGGCTGGGATGAAACAGGTGCATGTGAATTCAGGGGTGGCACATGATAAGCGCAAGGCGATTCTTAACTGTACGGGCAGCCCGTGCCCGGATTTTTCGGGCAGGTGTGAGTCGAACCATGAAGCTTCGGCTTGCAGTATGGATAAGATTTCAGACCAGGGTTTTGCCCGCCCGGCGATTCCCATAAACTGCCCGAAGAAAGCAAATATTACGACTGTGGGGCCAGAGGGGAGGGATGAGAGCTGCTCGCATACATCCGATTTCGGGTGGTATGAACCGTGTACATTCCAGATTTACCTTTTGCGGGGAGTGTATATCGACCACGAGGGGCATGTGTTCAACAAAACGACGCATTTCAATCGGGAGGGCTGCAACAACGACTCTCCGGTAAGCGTCTGGGGTGCGGTGATTGTGCATGAGGTATCAGTGTGTGTGTGAGGTGAATTGGACGTGTGTGACAGTGTTCAAGACAGAGTGCGTGTGTGTATGTCGTGACTGTGTGTCAGGTGACACAGTGTGAGTGAGGCGAATTTTGTGTGAGGGCTGCTGAACAGCCAAACCTGCAATTTCTTCCACGAGCTCATCAATTTAACCCCTTTTGTTACTTCCCATCCCATCCCATCCCAGCACTTCCTTTGCAGTATGAGTACAAGATGGGGACAAAGGTGCATAAGCTCAAGAGGGTGGTGAACCTGGCGTATTACCAGGGCCACAACTTCTATCACGGGCTCATCAGCTCACCCCCCCCCCTTCTTGGTTTGAGTACAAGAAAGGAACGAAGGTTTATAAGATCAAGAGGGTGGTGAACCTGGCGTACTATCAGGCCCGCAACTTCTACCACGGGCTCATAGAGTGGACGCCCTACCTTCGTGTCATCCCCGCTCCACTCCCATCCCAACACTGGCATTGCAGTTTGAGTACAAGAAGGGCACCAAGGTGCACAAGCTCAAGAGGGTGGTGAACCTGGCGTACTACCAGGGCCGCAACTTCTACCACGGGCTCGTCGAGTGGACGCCCCAGCTCTTCCTCCTCAGCTCGCTACTGCACGCCAACCCCACCATCCCTCTGCTCGCCATCCACGACCAGGTATATCTGCTGTAGCCTGCTGTAGATGGCTAAGGAATGTACTCTGTGCGTACATCTCGCAACGAGGGTACATCTGGCTTGGGATTGTAAGGTCCACATGGGCTCACCAGGTATATCTGGTGTAGGCGTGTACAAAGGGCTTGCATGGAGGTGCAGCCGGGATAGCGTTTTCTTGATTACCCTGCATGATTTTTTCTCGCCTCTCATCTTTCCTCCACTCCCTCTGTTTAATCCTTAGCTTTCCATTAACTGCAATGGGAATTTTGCAAGTAGGTGCATGTCGCTTGTTCACCATCTGCTTTAGAGGACCTTCCTCCACTCTCTCACCTTGTCTCACTTCCCTCTCACTCTTTCTCCTTTCCATGCAGTGGGATTTCTACGAGAATATATCGAAGCCTATTATAGGTGTGGAACAATTCGCTATGAACCGACTCAATATAAGCCGCGGGGAGCTCTTCTATGCCGATGAGGTGTACCTTGTAAGTCATGCTTGGGACTAGGGATGAGCAAAAAAAGGGGCTGGGGCCGGCCCGCCGGGCCGGAGGCGGCCTGCTTTTGGTCCGCCTGTTAAGGGGCGGGCCATAGACTTGTTTGCCTCTCTAAAACAGGCCCAAAAACGAATTACCCTCCACGCCCGGCCCGGGTCTGGCCATTTCGGCCCGGGTAACCCCTGGGCGAACTCGGGCCGAGGTCTAGCTCATTCGGCCTAGGACGGGCCGGGCTGGGCCCGGCCCGGCCCGTGCTCAACCCTACTTGGGACTCCCCTGTGCACACTTCAACTTATACCTTTTATGCTCTATGCCAAAGCTAGAGCGTTTTGCCACTTCAAGGCTGATTCAATTGCTGTGCTTTCATTGCTCAATTGCTGTGCTTTCATTGCTCAATTGATGTGCTTTCATTGCTCAATTGCTGTGCTTTCATTGCTCAATTGCTGTGCTTTCATTGCTCAATTGCTGTGCTTTCATTGCTCGATTGCTGTGCTTCCATTGCTCAATTGCTGTGCTTTCATTGCTCAATTGCTGTGCTTTCATTGCTCAATTGCTGTGCTTAATTTAGTATAAGCCTTCCGCCGTTCCTTTGTCTTCCTGTTTCCCCTTCCCTGCCTCTCCAACACCCCAGCCGCTATACCAGGCATGTGGCAAGGCCAGCCCTTCCCTCTGGTCGCTCCTCCGCTCCCACTTCCTTCTCGCCCCGCAAGGCCTCCCCATCTTTCCGCCCACCAGCTGGATCCAACGGCCAGGATTGGCCAATCCGGTGAACCAGACCGAGGCGGCAATAGTGCCGCCCGATTGGATGGTGCTGCTGGTGCGGCGGCCAGGTGTCAAACGCTCATTGGACCGCTGGGATGAGCTGTATGAGGCGGCCGTGTCGGTGTTCTCATTGAATCGGGTTCATGTGCTCGACGGATCAGTGCCTATGCTCAAAGGTATGCTTGTATCAGTGCCCAGAATTCTCATTACAGATGTAGGCGGCCAGGTGTCAAGCGCCCATCGGACAGCTGGGACGAGCTGTACGAGTCTGCCGTGTCCGTGTTCTCTCTCAACCGGGTGTATGTGCTGAACGGTTCCGTGCCCATGCTCAAAGGTATGTGACCAGAGTCTGTTGCTAATTGAGTGTTATGTCAAAAGACAGCGTGTCTTGGTGTTCTCATTAGGTAGGGTCCATGTGCTCAACGGCTCCGTGCCCATGCTCAAAGGTAGGCGGCATGACTTTTGAGTCGAATCAAATGCCTAGCTGTATGAGTCGGCCGTGTCGGTGTTCTCACTCAACCGGGTGCATGTGCTGAACGGCTCGGTCCCCATGCTTTAAGTGTCAGAGGTCCACTGGTGATCCCCGATTGATCTTAGGGAAGGGTTACAGGCTCGTTGTCCTGGGGGGTTATGGGCGCACTGACTCGCTACTTAACAAACCATTTAATCCCAATGGTTTAGTGGTTAGAATTCTGACATGGTATCAGAGCGAAGATCTCGGGTTCGAATCCCAGTGTGTGCACTTCGGGCATCCCAGTGCGGGGGGGTGTCAGAGGTCCACTGGTGATCCCCGATTGATCATAGGGAAGGGTTACAGGCTCGTTGTCCTGGGGGGTTATGGGCGCACTGACCCGCTACTTAACAAGCCCTTTTATCCCAATTGTCTAGTGGTTGGGATTCTGACACAAATGTATGTTTGTATCATTTGAGAGAAATCTAAAAATGAATGACTCGGCCGTGTCGGTGTTCTTTCTTAACCGGGTGCATGTACTCAACGGCTCAGTGCCCATGTTCAAAGGTACATGGCTAGTTTTTTGTTTTTCTTTTTTTCCTTCTGTTTTATTTTTCCCTTTCCAACAATGTTAAGCAATGATAATTTCATGTTCCCCCCAGGTTTTCTGCCTCTAACTCCTTCACCTTCCTCCATCTCCCCTTCTCTGTTCCTGCACGTGCCACGAGCACTCCGATCCTGATAGCACCGCTTCTTACAACCAGTCACACCTCTTACCATGTGTTCGATCCGTTCTTTTTTTTCCAAACGTTTTCTTTGACCCACCTTCCTGTACCTGTTCCCACACCCCCAGCTCGGTCGCTGTTTCGAAGAGCGAGGCTGCTTATAGCGGGTCACGGAGCAGCAATGGCAAACATGGTCTTCATGCGACCCAACATGACAGTCTATGAAATTCGTCCCGACAAGAGCAACAATGCGTGTTACCACCACCTAGCACACGCGTGTGGTCTCCAGTATTACCTGACGTTTGGGGACGGGGATGGGGAGAGCGTAGTGAAGATTGATGTGGGGAAGGTTACAGGAGTGTTGAAGGAAATTGCCAAGACGTTTCCGCCTTTGCCGGGGGACGAGCATCCAGATGATGTGTCCATTTTTGGAGATGGTTAATGCTTCATCTGCTGTATCTACACCTATTTTGTTCATTGTGTATATTCTGGATGATTCTTCTGCTGGTAATTTAATACCCTGTAGATAAGTAACGTACAGCTCAGCCTTTGCGGTGCTCGTGAACAGCACTAGAGACACAGAGCAAGTCAGCAAGCACACTGCACTTCACTTCACTGCATTGTATCTACACCAAATTGGCTGCCTTGGGCGGGTCACCTTTGGTCCTTTGAGAAACTCATGACAAAGCGCCGAGATCGAGAGCAAAATCTATGTACATCATACAGGCTGGATGTACGGGCAGTCAAGTGACAAGATACACTCGTAATCAGGATCAGCTAAGGGCGAGCGCAGGAAACTCATCCTACACTCCTTTCTCAACTTCTTCTCCAGACACCGCTTCCCATAAGATTCTTTCAGATGCTTACCAGCCTCCTCCCTCCCATGCTTCCTAACATCCAGCGCAAATTCCTGGGCGAATTTTAACAGCTTTTCAACACCGCTTATGTCTTGATCGGCCAAGTGTACCTTTCGCGAGTGCGTGCGATATTTCTTACACGCAGCATCTCGATCGCACTCCATAGGACTCATCCCCGCATAGAGCGAATCGTTAGCGGGCGCGGGCGGAGGCCCCACAGTGCACTGATACTGCATGTAATTTATCCCCGCGTTTATCGCGGTGTAATAATACAGATCGTAGAACACTCCGAAGGGGGAAATCTCGAGAACGATCGCGTCTGAGCGAGCGAAACAGGTGGGGTTGGTGAGACCTGCGCCGTGTAGGGCGACGTGTAGGGCAATTGGGATGCAGGAAGGTCAGCGTTGGAATGCGGGGGAGAGGTGAAAAGAGAAACACCTCTCTCAGTCGCTGCCTCACCAGCTCTGCCTCCTCCGCCATACCGTTGAACGTGGCGGCCTTGAGATCAGTAAGATTGAAGATACGAGTTGCAATGTGGGGGAGAGTTGAAGGAGGGATACGCCTCCTTCAATTACTGCTCGCGTCAGCAGACAGGAAAGCACCTTGAGAAGGCCGGGCACAATAAGAGTCTGGAAGCACATGCAGAGAACAAGAATGGAAGCACAAAGTGCCTCATCTTGAGTAGGCCAGGCACAACAAGGGTCTGGAAGCACATGGGCCGCTCATCGCTAGCTGCATTCAACTGCCCCTCAAACTCCGCCCGCCCACCAGCCTTTAAAACACACCTTGATGAGGGAAGACAGGCGTACCTTAAGAAAGCCAGGCACAACAAGAGTCTGGAAGCACATGGGCTGCTCATCGCTAGCTGCATTCAACTGCCCCTCAAACTCCGCCCGCCCACCAGCCTTTAAAACACACCTTGATGAGGGAAGACAGGCGTACCTTAAGAAAGCCAGGCACAACAAGAGTCTGGAAGCACATGGGCCGCTCATCGCTAGCTGCATTCAACTGCCCCTCAAACTCCGCCCGCCCACCAGCCTTTAAAACACACCTTGATGAGGGAAGACAGGCGTACCTTAAGAAAGCCAGGCACAACAAGAGTCTGGAAGCACATGGGCCGCTCATCGCTAGCTGCATTCAACTGCCCCTCAAACTCCGCCCGCCCACCAGCCTTTAAAACACACCTTGATGAGGGAAGACAGGCGTACCTTAAGAAAGCCAGGCACAACAAGAGTCTGGAAGCACATGGGCCGCTCATCGCTAGCTGCATTCAACTGCCCCTCAAACTCCGCCCGCCCACCAGCCTTTAAAACACACCTTGATGAGGGAAGACAGGCGTACCTTAAGAAAGCCAGGCACAACAAGAGTCTGGAAGCACATGGGCCGCTCATCGCTAGCTGCATTCAACTGCCCCTCAAACTCCGCCCGCCCACCAGCCTTTAAAACACACCTTGATGAGGGAAGACAGGCGTACCTTAAGAAAGTCAGGCACAACAAGAGTCTGGAAGCACATGGGCCGCTCATCACTAGCTGCATTCAACTGCCCCTCAAACTCCACCCGCCCACCAGCCAGAGGGCCGGCGGAGAGGAGCGAGGAAGGCGAGATGGATGCGAGGAGGGAGGCGGGGAGGAGCGGCTCGAGCGCCATGCGGAGGAGGAGGTGCAGCATTGACGGCAGCCAGCCATGTGGCCCGAGCTCCTTCATTCTGGAAAAAAAGGTGGTTAAAAAAAAACGGGGCATAAGAGGTGTGAGTAACAGGGAGGTGGAGCAGACAACTGAGGGAAGGAGAGAATTGTATGTGTGTGTGAGAAAGAGAAAGCAAGAGAGCGACGAGACGAACATAATACGTCTTCGCTATGCCCCCAATACAACTGAAAGAATCAGAGGGAATACGCGAAACAGGGTGGAAATTGACAAAGGAATCACCTGTGCACGGTCCATTCGGCACGGGGGAGCAGGAAGCGATCGACCCGTGGGAGGCCCGCCTTGGACGTCACGTTGTTGACGAGAAGAATATGTGCCGCCTTGCCTGCACTTGAAACACAGGGAATAGGAAAGGACGTTACTTTAGGGGCTTCTTATCGACCTGTCTTGGACATCACACAGATTAAAAGCAGGATATGCGCCCCCTTGCCTGCGTGTGAAGCACAGAGGGAAAAAAGGTTGGGAACGGAAGGGAGGCGGCAAGATTCTAGCGTTTCCTAGAAAGTGCGCCACGTTGGTGGTCTGGTGTGTGAGAGGCACAAACAAAGTCCCGCCCATGCGCCACTCCGTCTCCCCCCCAACCCACCACCGCCACCGCCCATCCCCTGCTGCCTGCAGCCCGCCTTTCAGCATGCGCCTTTCAGGCAGGCTGCAGCAGGGCGGTGGGAGGAGAGTTGCAAGTCTCTCCAAAAGACAATCTTCCCTTGTTCCCCATCCATTCCCCATCCATTCCCCATCCACTCTCCAGCCATTCACCGTCCATTCCCCATCCATTCCCCATCCATTCCCCATCCATTCCCCATCCATTCCCCATCCATTCCCCATCCACTCTCCAGCCATTCACCGTCCATTCCCCATCCATTCCGCATCCACTCTCCAGCCATTCACCGTCCATTCCCCATCCATTCCCCATCCACTCTCCAGCCATTCCCCGTCCCACGCTCACCTAGAAAATGCGCCACATTTGTCGTTTGCTGTGTCAATGGTACAAACAAAGTCCCGCCCATGCGCCACTCCGCCTCCCCCCTAACCCACCGCCGCCACCGCCCATCCCCAGCTGCCTGCAGCCCTCCTTTCACCGGCGCCTCTGAGAGCGCCGATCTCAGCATGTGGCCGAACTGAGGCAGGTTCGAGCAGGACGTGGGGGGGAGGAGCACTTTGAGTTTCCCCATCCCGCAACCCATTCTCACCTAGAAAGTGCGCCACATTTGTCGTCTGGTGTGTCAGAGGCACAAAGAGCGCCCCGCCCATGCGCCACTCCGCCTCCCCCCCAACCCACCGCCGCCACCGCCCATCCCCTGCTGCCAGCAGCCCGCCTTTCACCGGCGCCTCTGAGAGCGCTGATCTCAGCATTCGGCCGAAATGGGGCAGGTTCGAGCAGGAGGTGGGGGAGAGGAGCGTTCCGAGTCTCTCCAAAACACACTCTTCCCCCATTCCCCAACCACTCCCCATCCATTCTGCATCCCGTTCTCACCTAGAAAATGTGCCACATTCGTCGTCTGGTGTGTGAGCGGCACAAACAGAGTCCCGCCCATGCGCCACTCCGCCTCCCCCCCAACCCACCGCCGCCACCGCTTATCCCCTGCTGCCTGCAGCCCGCCTTTCACCAGCGCCGATCTCAGCATGCGGCCGAACTGAGGCAGGTTTGAGCAGGGCAGGGCGCGCGCGGGAGAGAGGAGTGCTTTGAGCCTTTCTATGCTCACCTAGAAAGTGCGCCACGTTGGTTGTCTGGTGCGTCAATGGCACAAACAGGGTCCCCCCCATGCGCCACTCCGCCTGCCCCCCAACCCACCGCCGCCACCGCCCATCCCCTGCTGCCTGCAGCCCTCCTTTCACCGGCGCCTCTGAAAGCGCCGATCTCAGCATGCGGCCGAACTGAGGCAGGTTTGAGCAGGACGTGGGGGAGAGCAGCGCGGATTTGTTGGCTGTGGCGGGGGCGTGTACCGGGGGGAGGCAGGGGTGGGGGGGGCGCGGGGGGAAAGAAGTGCTGCTGGTGCTGTCGGTGGTGTCGGTGGTATTGGTTGTATCAGAGATATCGGGTCCGTATCTGCCGAGCAACGCCGACCCGTTGTAGCAGACGTTGCGGCAGACACAGACGGCCTGGGTGCAGCAGAAGGCGTTGCGGAGGCGGTAGCAGGCGCAGCCCGAGGGGAAGGTGGCGGGGAGGGCGGAGGGGGAGGTGGAGAGGGGGATGGGGAAGGTGGGCGGAGGGAGGGGCGGGATGGGGGTGAGAGAGGGGGGAGCGGAGGGAGTGGTGGTGTGAGTTGGGAGGGAGGTGGGGATGGGGGTGGAGGAAGGAATAAGGGGGCTGGAGAGAGAAGGTGTAGGGGTAGAGGAGCCTGTGCTGATGGGGTGGGTAGTGGCAGCAGTGCCAGTGGCGTCAGATGGTGTGGTGTTGCCATCAGCAGTCGCTGCAGTTGCTACAGTCACAGCAGCAGTAGAGGTACCAACAGCACCACCACTGCTGCCAATCTCTTTCCCTCCGCTCTTTACCCCTGCAATGCTCCCCTCCTTTGCTTTCTTTCCTTCCTCTTCCTCTCCCCTTTTTGCTCTCTCCCCCACGTCTTTTGACTCTCCCCTCAGAGCAGCAAACACCTTTCCAGCAACTTCCCTTATCGTAGATAACACCTCCCCTGTGTCCACTTGCAGGGCGGAGTCTTTTGTCCCATTCCCCAGCAGTAGCCAATAGTGCATCTGCGACACGCTGGCAAGGTGGTGGTAACACGCGTTGGGGTAACCCCGAGGGCGGATTTCCAGTAGGAAAGCGCCACGTGGCATGAAGAGGAGGTTGGTCAGGGCGGCCCCGTGTGTGCCAACCAATAGGGCGGCTCGGCGGAAGAGAGCCCGGGCTTCAATGAGGGAGGGGGGGCAGAGATGGAGGGGAGAATTCGGGTTTCTGTGAAAATAAGGGGAGGTTCGTAATACTTGTCAGAAGTCTAGAAGTTGATTGTGTTGACGAAAAGAAGGGAATACATATGATGCATGAGAGAGGTGGAAGGGAAGGAAGTTGTTGGGGGCAAATTGATGGTGGAATGGTCAACCAAAATCGGTCCCACGATGTGTTTGGGTGAACCAATCACAAGGTTGGGACCAATGTGGAATGACCACCAATCAACAAATTGCTCGTGTCAAGGCTCCACCACAAAATGGTGGATTGGCACCCAACACAAATGTACACCCAAATTGGGGTACATGCCCAACTCGACTGTACACCAAGATTTGTCAAGTACTGAGAGGAGGGAGGGAGCAATAGGACAGGACGAGGGTCAGAAGATGAAGAAAAGTAAAAGAACAGGATGTGTCGGTGCTGGAGAGAGTGGCAGCAGTGGGGCAAGGGAAAGCGTGGTGATTACACGAGAGAAGCTGAAGGAGTTGAAGGAATACATAATGAGCATGGAGGGAACATGCACACGGATGAAAGTAAGCCCGAATGTGCCGAATCACCCCCTTTTCCGTGCTGTACCCCTTTCCCTCTGTGCTGTAAAACCAGCCCTTCCCCTCCATGCTGCAAAGTCAACCCGTTCCGTCCATGCTGTAAAATCAATCCTTCCCCCTCCGTGCTGTAAAATTAAACCGTCCCCCACTATGCGGTAAAATCAATCCATCTCCCTCCGTGCTGTAAAATCAACCTCTCCCCCACCGTGCTGTAAAATTAACCCCTTCCCCTTCGTGCTGTAAAATAAAATCAACCTCTCCTCTTTCGTGCTGTAAAATAAAATCAACCTCTCCTCTTTCGTGCTGTAAAATAAAATCAGCCTCTCCTCTTTCGTGCTGTAAAATAAAATCAACCTCTCCTCTTTCGTGCTGTAAAATAAAATCAACCTCTCCTCTTTCGTGCTGTAAAATAAAATCAACCTCTCCTCTTTCGTGCTGTAAAATAAAATCAACCTCTCCTCTTTCGTGCTGTAAAATAAAATCAACCTCTCCTCTTTCGTGCTGTAAAATAAAATCAACCTCTCCTCTTTCGTGCTGTATAATCATAGCCTACCAACTTTGATTTTATAGCACGAACGGAGAGGGGTTGACTTAACAGCACGGAGGAAAGGGGTGATTTTATAGCATGACGGAGGGGAATTGATTTGATTTTACAGCATGGAAAGAGAGGGATTGACTTAACAACACAAAAGAGGAGGTGATGATTGTATAGCACAGAAGGGAGGGGTCGACTTTACAGCACAGAGGGGGAAGGGTTACAACATGGATGGGGATGAACTGATTTTACAGCACGGAGGGAGCGGGTGATTTGGCGCACACGCCCTCAGCTTCATGCGTGCACATGTCCTCCCCATGCTCATTAAGCATTTATCCAACTCCTTCAGCTTCTCTCGCGTAACCGCTACGTTTTTCCTTGCCCAACTGTTGCTACAGTCTCCAGCACCGATGCCTCTGGTTCTTTTACTTTTCATCATATTCTAACCCTCGTCTTGTCCTCCTTGTCAGAAAAGCTTAGCATACTACCATATTATCTAACAGTAATTTACAAAAGGAACAGTGAGAAAAAGAGAAGCAAGGGGGGAGCAACAGTGTTTTACTCAGTACATGAGTGCTCACTCGCTCGTTCACTCACTCACTCCATCGCTGGTCACTCACTGTCTCAGCCACTACTGCACTCTTTTCAACTCACCACCAGCCCACTCACCCATTCCAAACACACTCACTCAGTCACCCACTGCTACACCTACGGCCCCACTCACTCACTCAATCACTCCTGCACCTTAACACCCACCTTCCAAGAGAGGCAGCCTCCCATAAAAAAACCACCACTCGCTACTCCCTTCACCACTCACATCAAGTCACTCACTCTCACTCACTCACGTACTCAATCCTGCACTCCAACACTCACCTTCCATGAGAGGCAGACTTCCATCAAACACCACCACTCGCCTCTCCCCAAACTCCTTCCTCATCCACCCCTCCACCCTCTCATACACACTCTCCTCCAGATTTCTAGACAGATTCCCGGGCCTCCGAACCAGGATCGTCACCCAGTTCAGCCCCGTCGTCATCCCGAACGTCTCCGCTAGGCTCGGCAGAGGTCCGGGCTTCAGCACGTCGAGCCGCTGGGGATGTTGTGACTGTTGTTCCTCACGTTGGCTAAGTAAGTCTGTTATGTCTTGGTAGTTTAGTGGGGAGGTTCGGCGGAGGCGGAAACTTTCGGGCTCGTATATGGGCAGCCCGTCGGGCGGAAGGAAAAAGTTTCGGCGGAGGAAGCGCCAAATAGTGGGTGTGGCTCGGCCGCAGCAGCGGTAGACAGGCTGGAGGTTGGGGAGCATGGGGGAGGGGGATGAGAGGGAGGAAAGTGGGGAGGGAGGGATAGAGGGGGAAGGAGAGAAGGAGATGAGAGAGAGCGGAACGTAGATACCCTGGTAACAAACGTGGCCTTTCTTACCAACTAGGCTACAAACCCGTCCATACTTAGTAGACACTACTAAGTAGAATGTGAGTTCTACTAAATATGGACTGCACCCCTTTTTACATGATAAAAAGCAAGCTAAACCCCAAACCCTGGAAAAGTGCAGATTTTTTTACCTAGCAAAAATATCCATTCTTACCTGATAGAGCGCCTGTGTGAGGAAGAGGGTGTTGCGGTGCTGCCAGTCGAGGATAAGCAGATTCATGTGCGCTGGCTCCACTCCAACTATGTGCTTTAAAGTATTGTTGTATAGCTGGAGCTGCACGGGTGGTATGGTAGGACATACAGACACATGCGCACACACACACACATACGTACACACACACATGCACACACACACACATGCACAGACACACACAATCACACGTGTTTCTTGCATATTATGCTATGGTGCTATGCACTATGTGATGGTGCTCTGGTGCTATGCTAATCACCCCAGCAATCCCATGAAACTCTGGCGATGCCTCATCATCTGCGAGTTTCCTCATGCTTTGACTCAACTCATGTTCTCTCACCTACCTGAGCAGCCTGCATGACAACGAGCATGTTGGGATGCTCCTCCAGCAGCTCCCTCAGCACTTGGGTGTGTACTTCCCCTCAAAGTCCTCTAATAGGTTCACTTCCCCTGTTAGTCCTATCATGCGCTCACCTGAGCAGCACGCATGACAATGAGAATGTTGGGGTGCTCCTGCAGCAGCTCCCTCAGCACGAGCCACTGCGGCACCCACTCGATCATGGAGTGGTAGAAGCTCGTGGCAGGCGTGTACAGCATGCTCACCATGCGCCCCACTCTCTGTACCGTGGTGTTGGCGCTGGGGTAGGTGAACTGGTTATAAGAGGGGAGATGGAGGAGATGGGCAGGATGAGGAGGCACAGAAGAAGGGATAGCTCGTGGCCAGGGTGTACAGCATGCTCACCTTTCGCCCCACCCGCTGGACTGTGGTGTTGGCGCTGGGGTAGGTGAACTGGTTTATGTTGGGAGGGGAGAAACACAGAAAGGGGGAAGGTGGCGGCCAGGGACCGGGGTGTACAGCATGCTCACCATGCGCCCCACGCGCTGCACCGTGGTGTTGCTGCTGGGGTAGGTGGACTAGTTTATGATGGGAGGGGGGAAAGACAGAAAGGGGAGAGCTGGTGGCAGGCGTGTACAGCATGCTCACCATGCGCCCCACGCACTGCACCGTGGTGTTGCTGCTGGGGTAGGTGAACTGGGTGGAGGTACATGGAAGAGAAGTGACAGGGAGACACAGACAAGACAGAGGTGGCGTCAAAATTTCAGAGTAAAGGACGCTCACCATACACCCCACCAGCTGCACCAGAGTAGCATTGAAGGGGCTATTGATCTGGGTGGCACACAACACGGGAGAGCTGGTGGCGGGCGAGTGCAACAGGGCTGGTGATCAAGGGGGAGGGGACCAGAGGCAAGAGGGGAGCTGGTTGTCCTGGTTCATGACTCACATCAGCGTTGGAGAAGCAGCCATGGCGGAACTCGTGTCACTAAAGATTTTCAAACGTGACACAAGCACGGCCGGGGTGCATGACTCACATCAGCATCTGAAAAGCAGCCATGGCGGAAGAAGTGCATGGAGCTGTTGAACACCACGCCGTTCCAATCCATCATCACATCTCGCATCTCGAAATACTGAAACAGCGTCCTGTCATGCCGCACATAGTCCCCTGCTTGCGAACATCGCAAATCCGCTCCTTTTCTCCCAACCTCGTCCTGATTCTCCAGCTTCGGGCAGTTTTCGGGAGGTCCGGGGTCGATGTGGATCGGCGCCACTATGTCGGTTCGGTGGCAGGCTCGCAGGTTCGGGAACGCCGAGCCGCAGGGAGCGAGGTTCGGACAGGGTCCGCCGGTGCACTGCAGCCGGACCTCTTTTTCAGGGATGTGGAATTTGAAGTATTCTAGAAAAGCGCTGGCTAGGTGGCTGCGTGTTATGCTTGTATTGAGAGTGGTTGTATCGAGTACGGCGTCTGGGAAGGAAGGGAGGACGGGAGAACCTTCTGGAATGGCCGGGATTGGGAGGTTGGGATTGTTGAGCTCTACGCCGGTTTTACTCATTATAATCGGACGCGGTTTCTGTTTAGGGCTGTTTTTTGCTTTCAAAGTGCTCTGCTCCGTTGACTGGGTTGATTTGGTTGACTGAGTTGACTTGGTTGACTTTTGGTCCGTAGGTTTGTTCAGATCCGTTGCTTTGCTCTGATGCAACTGAACGGTAAGCTCCTTCTCGAATTGGTTCACTCGTCCCAAGAGCAGCGTGCTATCACGGCTTCCATCCCTGCTGCTGCCGCTGCTGCTGCTGCTGCTGCTGCTGGCGGTGCTGCTGCTGCTGTCAGAAACCGTTTGCAAATTCGATTCTCCTAAAGCGAGACGGGAAGGGGAGAGAGCGAGAGAGAGGAAGAGGAAAAGGGAGAGGAGGATCGGGGTGATGGAACTGCCGTGGTGTTTACGGGGCGTTGACGGACGGACCCAGACTGCTGTCCGCAATTCGCGGATGCTGTCCATCCTCGTTTGTAACATACTGCGTGCCCTCAAAACCGTCTGTAACTGTAATACGAGGCTTCTGGTGGCGCTGGATCAGATAAATGATCAGATCTTGCCGTTGGCTCTTGCCGCTACGATACGCACGGGCGTTCCAGTGGTGGCTTCTCAGTCGGATCAAAGAACACACCCGACCAGCTAACATCCCTACTGGGACGGACTTCAAGTTCACCCCCTACTGGCTCGTGCAACGCGGACTGACCTAGCTACGCGGCGGAGAGTTTTTTACATTTACTGCTCTCCCATATTACGATAACTACATTCCGAAACCGATAACCGCCATAGCTTACTCATCTGTGATAGTGAGGCGATCTGCTCTGGCATTTGGCAAGGATGGGATGGGAATTGAAGTTTGGGATTGAGGTGTGGTTTGGGTCTTGGCTTGGGAGGGAATTGTGGTTGGGCCTTGGGGTTGGATAGGCGAGGCTTGGGGAAATGTGTGCCGGCTTTGGGAATTCTGGGCATTGCAATTGCGGCTCTGCGTTCCTGGTCCGGCGAATTTATTGGCGAAATTGAAATATTCAGGTTACGCTGAGCCTGGCGAAGGGAGCCACGTACAAGGCGCTGTACGACGCAGTAATATTTTGGCACGCTATTCACAAGTGGACAGTACCTGATATCGGAAATTGTGGGTATCGAAGCAAACCCAAGCCCCGAAGCAAACCCAAGCCCCTGAGATTTATAAATTTCCACTAAGCTGCTCCTAGATTTCCGAATCGCACTAATTAGGGAACATCTTCGTTTCTTTGTGACACAAACTTTTTCATATAGCATAATTCCCGCGATGCCGATATCCACGCCTTCGTCACGCGAAAATGCGTCACATTCTAACCCAGTCGCAACTCATCTTGGTAACGAAGCGCTTCAAAAGGAATCATCAGCTGCCCATATGGAAACGGTTCCCCCTGAACGTGACGCATTGCCCGTCCGTGTGAGATTATTTGTCGGCGGGCTGCCCGGGAATGTTTCAGAGGATGAAGTTCGAGGTAGATTCCAGCCGTTCGGGCAGGTCAACGAAGTCAACGTGATTCTTGCCAAGTCGCACCAGCTGCTCCCCGCGTCCTTCGCGGCACCTCCATCGCAGCAAACAAATCCTGACCGTCTATTTCACGAAACGAGCGCAGATGGAGCCGATCGGCAGTGCAGCCACGTGGCAGTGTGTCGTGGCTTTGCTTACGTGGACATGGTTCCCAAGTCCGCCAAGGCCTTGCACCAATGCTTGTCGCTGGTGGGTCTTTCGGCGTTAACTTTAAATGATAAATTGTACGCGTTATCACCGATCCGTTAACTCATATAGTCACTCATCCAGCCCCTTAATCCGCGCGTTGCCGTCCACCTTACTATTCTCCTCCAACCCCCACTCTCTTCCCCGCTCCCCCTCTCTTTCCCCCCACCCCCTCCCCCGCTTTCCGTCGCCCCCGAACCGTACAATATTTGCATACGGAAGGGGAGGAAGGCGCGTGAAAACCTCATAACCCCCCTCCTGTTTTCCTTTTTCCCCAACCCCACCGAAACCCCCCAGTACAACGGGTGCATGTGGAAAGGGGGTCGGATGCGCGTGGAAGCACCAAAGGAGAGTTTTCTCGAGCACAACGCCAAGGAGCGCACGGAGAGGGAGAGGGAGTAGAGGTCCTTGGAGTCGAGTTAAAAGGCCGTCTTTTGAGGCGCCTCAAAAGACGCCAAGGAGCGGAAGGAGAAGGAGAGGGAGGAGAGGTCCTTTGAGTCGAGTTAAAAGGCCGTGCACGGAACTGTTTTGTGCCACGTCCGAAAACCCCTTCTTCTCCCCCCTCCTTGTTCCCGCTGCCCCCCTCTCCCACTCTCCCCTTTCTTCCCCCCTACCCCGCAGTACAACGGGTGCATGTGGAAGGGGGGCCGCATGCGCGTGGAAGCAGCAAGGGAGAGTTTTCTCGAGCACAACGCCAAGGAGCGCACGGAGAGGGAGAGGGAGGAGGCAGAGGAGAGGGCAGAGAGGTTAGAGAAGTTGGAGGCAGAGCGAAGTGGTGGTGGTAACCGGGTTATGCAGACCCCTGCCAGTGGGTGTTTGAGCCCTGAGGAGGTAGCTGCCTTGAAGGCACGGAAGCTGGAGCCAATGAACCTGGCTTGGCGCGGAGGGAAAAAGGTATGAGTCTATTCCCCTGTCTGTTTATCTCTTTCTCGTGTGCCCCCTCACTCCTTCGCTGCACTGAAGGCACGGAAGCTAGAGCCAATGAACCTGGCTTGGCGCGGAGGGAAAAAGGTGTGTCTTTCTTGCCCCTCCCTTGCCCCGTGTGTGTTTGAGCCCAGAGGAGGTAGCTGCCTTGAAGGTACGGAAGCTAGAGCCTATGAACCTGGCTTGGCGCGGAGCGAAGAAGGTGTGTCTTTCTTGGCCCTCACTCGCCCCTCACCCGCCCCTCAATCGCCACGTGGGTGTTTGAGCCCGGAGGAGGTAGCTGCCTTGAAGGCACGGAAGCTGGAGCCAATGAACCTGGCTTGGCGCGGAGGGAAGAAGGTGCGTGGTTGTTCTTCTGTCTGCCTTGCCCCTCACTCGCGCCTCACTTGCTACTTGGGTGTTTGAGCCCAGAGGAGGTAGCTGCACTCAAGGCACGGAAGCTAGAGCCAATGAACCTGGCTTGGTGCGGAGGGAAGAAGGTATGAGTCTGCCCGTCTTGACCCTCACTCGCCCCTCACCCGCCCCTCACTCGCCACGCGCGTGCCTCCCAACCCCTTTCCCTCCTTCCCGACTCCTCGCCTGCCTCTCAACCCCTCTGAACCCCTCTGTTCTCCCCCCTCAGATGCGGCGCATGCCAGCAGCCGGGGGGGCCGGGTGTGGGCGGCACAAGCTGAGCTTCCAGCTGCTTTCTGAGACAGCTTGATAAGGCTGTCACCATCTCCTTGTCAATCCCTCTCAATCCCTCTCAATCCCTCTCAATCCCTCTCAATCCCTCTCAATCCCTCTCCTCCCCTCCTCAGATGCGGCACATGCCAGCAGCGGGTGGGCCGGGGTGTGGGCGGCACAAGCTGAGCTTCCAGCGTCTTGCATTTGAACCCTCCCTCTCTGCTGTGCTTGCCCGCGCCGCTGCTGCCACCGCGGTCGCCGCTGCTGCTGACGCGGATAGTGGTGGTGGTGATACTGCTGTTGCTGCTGGTTCTGGTGCTGCTGCTGCTGCTGCTGCTGCTGGTGCTGCTGGTGTTGCTGGTGCTGGTGTTGTTGGTGCTGGTGCTTCTGCTGCGGGGGGAGGGGGGCGAGAGGGAGGCGTGATGTTTTGGCAGGGTGGACGTGGGGAGGGTGCTACTGGTGGGTATGCTGGTGGTTTTGAGGGGCAGCCAGAGCAGCAGGAGCAGGGGAAGGAGGAGGGGGAGGAGGAGGATGGGGGGTTGGAAAGAGAAAGGGAGATGCAAAGGCGACTGCTGCAACGGTTCTTGATGCTGGAAGGGGGAGGGTCGGAGGCGGAAGGGGAAGGGATGGGCGATGGGGGGAGTAAGGGTGATGAGGGGGAGAAGGGCGCACACGTGAGGGATGGGAGTGGTGGGACTGGGCGGAAGGCGGGTGATAGGGGAGGGGTACAGGGTGATGTGTTGATGCACGAGGGGCGAGTTGAGGAAGAGGTGGAAGAGGGGGAAGTGGAGGAGGAAGAGGAGGAAGAGGAGGATGAAGAGGAGGAGGAAGAGGAGGAGGACGATGGGTTGAACATTAATCTTACATGGAGTGGGCCCAGCAAAGGCAGCACAGGCAGCAAAGAAGGCAAAGGAAGCAAAGGCAGCACAGGCAGCAACGGCAATGAGAATATCAATAGCAAGGGGGTGCAGGAGACGAGGTCTAGGGCTGTGGCAGGCACAGAAGGGGCAGATGGTGCGGGTGGTGTGAGTGGTCTATTTGTTGGGCGCACGGAGGGGGCATCAGAGGGTAAGCGGGGCCAGAGATTAGCAGGGATGAAAGGGGTAGAAGAAAAAGCGGCTAGGGAGAAAGGCATAAAAGAGGTGGTAGTGGAAGGGAAGGCTTTTGGGGAGAAATTCGTGGGGAGTGGGGAGAAGGAACAAGTGGGGAAGACTGGGGAGGGGGGATCGCGATGGGATAGGATGTTTGCTGTTGCTTCGTGTGAGGTGGAAGAGGAGGAGGAGGAGGAGGAGGAGGAGGAGGAGGAGGAGGAGGAGGAGGAGGAGGAGGAGGAGGAGGAGGAGGAGGAGGAGGAGGAGGAAGGAGGAGGAGGAGGAGGAGGAGGAGGAGGAGGAGGAGGAGGAGGAGGAGGAGGAGGAGGAGGAGGAGGAGGAGGAGGAGGAGGAGGAGGAGGAGGAGGAAGGTGGGTTAGAGGAAGGAGAGGGGGAAGAGGGGTATGAAAGAGGGCACAACATTTGGGGAAGGTCAAATTTGGAGGGAGGATATGAGAGAATGGAAGAAGATGATTTGGAAGAGTTGGAGGAGAAGGGAGAGGAGGGTGAGGAGAGTGAGGAAGAAGCAGGGGAGGAGGAGAAAGAAGTCAAGGGCATAAAGGTAATGGAAGCAGGAGAGGAGCGAGGGGAGGAGGAGATGGAAATGAAGGAGGGGGGTGCAGAGGAGGGGGAGGGGGAGGGAGTGGAGGGCGAGATAGAGGAGGAGGGTGAGGGAGAGGAGGAGGGAGAGATAGAGGAGGAGGGTGAGGGGGATGAGGAGGGGGAGACAGAGGAGGAGGGGGAAGGAGAGGAGGAAGGTGAGGGAGAGGAAGAGGGGGGGGGAAATGAGGAGGGCGAGGAAGAGGAGGAGGGGACGGGAGAGGCGGAGAGTGAAGGAGAGGAGGGTGAGGGAGTGGAGGGTGAGGGAGAGGAGGGTGGAGACGGGAGTGAGGATAAGGGAGTAGATGAAGCGGAGGAGGACGAAGGTGAGGAGAGTGAGGAGAAGGAGGAGGAGGATGTGCAGGAAGGTGAGGAAGAAGGGGAGGAAGAGGAGGCAGCAGCGGAGGGGGAAGAGGAAGAGGAGGAGGAGGAGGAGGAGGAGGAGGAGGAGGAGGAGGAGGAGGAGGAGGAGGAGGAGGAGGAGGAGGAGGAGGAGGAGGAGGAGGAGGAGGAGGAGGAGCAGGAAGAGGAGGAGGAGGAAGGGGAGGAGGAGGAAGGGGAAGGCAAGGGGAGTGATAAGCGCACAAGAAAGGGGCCAGACGTGCCTTCGTGGGACAGTCTATTTGCTTTGGCTGCTGGGGAGGGGCTTGGTGCTGGGGAGGGCAAGGAGAAAGATGATGGCAGGAAGGGCTCTGAAAAAGATGGTGGTAGCAGTGGTGGGGGAGGGAAGAGGAAAGGGTCACTGGAGGGTCCTAGTGTAGGAGGAAAAGGAGGAAAGCGCCAGAAGACAGAAGGGCTGGAAGGGAAGCCAGCTAGTGATGGTGCTGGCAATGGTGCTGCTGCTGGTAGTGCCGCTGCTGCTGCTGCTGGTAATGCCGCTGCTGCTGCTGCTGGTAGTGCCGCTGCTGCTGGCGCTGCTGCTGCTGGTGAGGCTGCTGCTGGAGATGCAGCAGCAGCAGCGAGTGGGGCCTTGGCGGAGAGGGAGGAGCAAGTGGGCAGTGCATGGGTGCAGAAGTTTACCTGGAAATCGCTCACCAGTGCTGATGGCAAACTCTCCTTCTCCCTCAAACCGGTTCTGGGTGAACTGAAGGGCAGTGACACACAGGAGGGAGGAGGTGGGACAAAGGAGATGGGGGTTGAGAAAAAAGAGGGAGGAGGTGGGGTGGAAGGGAAGGGGGAGGTGATGCGAGGTGGAGAAGGACAGGAGGACGGAGGGAGACAGGAGACGGAGGCGGGAGGGGGTGGGAGGAGGGAAGGGGGGTCATTGTTTGGGGCAGAGCTGGTTGCGCCTGTAACAACTGGCTTGAGTGGTGCTGGTGCTGCTGGTGTTGGGATTGGTGCTGCTGCTGCTGTTGGGATTGGCGGGAGAGGGGACGGTGGGGGGAGAGGGTGGAGAGGAGGGAGAGGAGGTAGGTTTGGGAGGGGAAGGGGAGGAGGGTTGGAAGGGAGTGCAGGAGAGAGGGAATCAGGAGGTTCATCTGGGGGAGGTATACCTGACCTGTTGGCGTTGGAGGAAGCCAGAGGGGCAGGTGATATGGAGAAGCTTCTGATGGACATGGGAGGAAGCTTCCTTAAGTCGGATGCGGAGGAGGGGAAGTGGAATCGCAAGAAGAGTGAGCTACGGCATGAGTTGAAGCGACAGCAAAAGTTTGCTCTGAGGAAGATAATGAAGTGAAGCTGCTCATGCCTGCATTTTCGTAAGTTTGGAGGTGTTCGGTCAGAATAGGGAAAGCTTGATTGGCATCATAATTCCACTCTGGAATTTACATGATCAGAATTGGCTAACATATCTCTTAGGGAAAACATGATAGATAGGGACTGCGAGCGAGGATTGTTACGAATAGTAAAAGATGGAGTGTTATTGTGCAATCCTGACAGTAGCAAACGAAGCATGCAGTACCGAGGTTGAAGACGAACAGGCGGAATGACGCGAAAGGTCATATGGTTACAAAGCATCTGGACCGTCAGGGCCGACAGCATCAGGCAGCAGCAGTGGCGAGGATTCTGTCCGAGCAGTTCGTAACCGTCTGGAGTCGCACGGTTGAGTTTCGCTGCAATAAGGGAATGTACCCCTTAGAGTACATGGCTAGCTATGCCGTTTCGTACGTCTTGTCGGCCGGACCAGTTGCTCGGATGGGTCTGGCAAGGGCGAGATCGGAATTCGCATCGATCTGCCAGGTGCCCGAAGTTTCTGCAGATTTTGCAGTAAAGGCGCCGCGGCCGTCGCTCTTCCGTGTTGTCCGTGAGAAGGCGAGGCGTTCCCGGTCTCGTCGCGGCGCAGGTCGCTGCTGATCCATGTCTCTCTGTTCGACGAGAAGGGCGGCGCATAGGGCGGCTTCCGAGATAACCCCCTGCTGCTGGAGCAGCGCCTTGCAAGGCTGCCATTCTGGGCCGAGCCCTTGAAGCACGATGTTCACGAAGATTTCTTCGGAAATGTGTTGAAACAACTGAATGAGAATTATTGGATTGAATAGAAAGTCTGGTACAAGTACTAACCCTAATTGGGTTGTACCCCTTATGGGCTACCCCACTATAGCCTACACAATGTAAGCACTATATAAGTTTGACACACCCCCGTAGGCGAAACGGGGGAGAACAAGTGATCACAAGACCAGTCAAGAAAACCAAAACAAGCTCAAGGTGGATCACGAAGTCACCACACATTCCGAGCACAGGCAAAATGCCACAAGGCCAGTTCACATGCAGAGTTATATAAAAGAGAACAACCAGTACAGTTATCATACCCTAGCAAGTGTAAGTATGCAGGTATATATATGTGTAGATATCATAGTACATGCAAAGTCACGCAGTGAGCAAGTGAAGCAAATTAGGCGCAAAGCCTAAAACAGTACAGAACCGCTGATGATCACCAGACTGAAGCGCCTTGGTGAATATATCATCAGTGTTGGCCCGAGTGGCCACGTAAGCAAGACGAAGCTGACCACGCTTCTGCAACTCTCGAGCAAGGAAGTATTGCAGAGCGATGTGCTTCGTTCTGTGCTCCAGTCTGTGCTCCTGACGCAAGGCAATCATGTCCTTGTTGTCTACGTACAGAACTGGAGAAGAACGAGGCCGCTCTCCCAATTCGGTCAGCAGGTAGGTGAGCCAGCATAAATCCTGTGCAGCCATGGCCCTTGCGTAGATCTCAGCCTCACAACTGAAACTGAGAATAGAAGACGAGCGGGTAGACCGCCAAGAAACAGGGCCGGAGCCAAGGCTGAATGTGTAACCCTGTGACGACCGCTGCGTAGCTGAGTCGTCAACCCAAGAAGCGTCTGCGTGTCCAGTGAGGACAACTGGACCCCGTCCTCCAAGCACGAGCCTCATGCCTGAAGTACTGCACAAGTAGTGCAACACCCTCTTAGCGACCTCCTAGTGCTCTGGTCGGTGTCTCCCGGGCGCAACGTAGCGTGCCAGGATGCTAAGAGGGTAGGCAAGGTCAGGTCAAGTGCAGGTCATCAGGTACATGAGGCAGCCCACAAGCTCTGGATACGGGCCACTCGGCTCTACGGACTCGTCCGAAGGTGGAGCTGAGAGCGAGTGACCGGTAGGCAGAGGAGTGGACTGTGGCGAGGAGTACCGAAAGCCGAGGCACGGAAGGATCTGGTGCACCATGTGTGAATGAGTCAGGGTGATGGTGCGCCGTGCTCTGTCCCGGGTGATCTGCAAACCAAGATAGCTGCACAGCTCACCCATGTCAGTGCATGTGTGTCTCTTCTGCAAATCCAACTTCACGTGGGCGAGTGCCTCAGTGTCAGCAGTAGCAAAGACCAAGTCGTCTACATACACGAGAACGTAGAACGGCGGCAGAGTGGCGTCGGTGCGTAGAAACAGCGACGGGTCAGCAGTGGAAGGAACAAAACCAAGAGCAGCAAGAGTCGTCCTCAGTGTGTCGTGCCACTCACGGGGTGCCTGGCGGAGACCGTAGACTGGCCGCCGGAGGCTCCACTGGGTATCTGCAGGAAACGACCCAGTGAAACCAGGTGGGCGGTGCAGCCAGATCTCCTCATGCAGGCTGCCCTGCAAGAAAGCTGTGCTGAAGTCAAGAGAGTGCAGCTCGTAGTCACGCTGAGCGGCGACGTGCAGCAACACCCGAAGAGTAGTCATCTTCGGGGTAGGAGATAAGGTCTGGAAGAAGTCAACTCTGTCAGAATCCGAGTCACTAGACCACTGGGATAAAAGGGCTTGTTAAGTAGCGGGTCAGTGCGCCCATAACCCCCCAGGACAACGAGCCTGTAACCCTTCCTTATGATCAATCGGGGATCACCAGTGGACCTCTGACACCCCCCCGTACTGGGATGCCCGAAGTGCACACACCGGGATTCGAACTCGAGTCATTCGCTCTGATACCATGTCAGAATCCCAATCACTAGACCTCTGGGATAAAAGGGCTTGTTACGTAGCGGGTCATGCGCCCATAACCCTCTCTGGACAACGAGCCTGTAACCCTTCCCTAGGATCAATCGGGGATCACCAGTTGACCTCTGACAAACTTCTTGTCGCTGACTGAAGCCTCATGCAACGTAACGAGCCTTGAAGACAGGCGGAGAACCCAGCGGCCGCTTCACCATGAAAATCCACTTGCCATCGACTATGTTAGCCCCAGAAGGGGGAACTGCGTCGACGTAGGTGCCTGTGGACTTCCAGGATGCCATCTCTGCGTCCATGGCTGTCTGCCACTGAGAGGAGTAGGGACCCGTTATCGCCTCTGCGTAAGAGCGCGGGGTCGGGATGTCCAGTGCATCCGGGTCTCCCTTAGGTGCAAGCAGCATGGCCACGAGATAAGGTACAGCAGCTGCAAGACACTCAAAATCTTCCTGCCTGTCCTCAAGAACGTCCGTGCCAAGAGCACACTCACCCCCGACGGACGGAGGACAGTCAGACTCAGACTCGGCAACAAGGCTAGTGGCGTAGTCGAGACGACAGGCGGCAGCAAAGTCAACAAGCTCAGCAACTAGGGCAAACAGCATCAGGCACCAGCAGTGGCGATGATTCTGTTCGAGAAGTTCGTAACCGTCTGGAGTTGCACGGTTGAGTTTCGTTGCAATAAGGGAATGTACCCCTTATAGTACATGGCTAGCTAGGCCGTTTCGTATTCCACCCCGTACTTTTATTTATAGGCTTGCATTTGCATGTTTTAATTCATCTCAATCATTTTACATTCACTCTGATCTGAGTTCAAGGGCCCACCACCACTACCTAGTTGTGTGCGAACCTTCCTGAGGTGATCCTGGTTACGATCAATTTATGATCGCAGCAAGAATGACCACATCCACCAAGATAAGAATGTGAGGAAATGGCATGGTTGATGTGTATTTCATGTCATCCCGAGAAGCCACAAACAAACAGCACTATACAAACATTCGTTGTTACAATTGTGTTACAACTCATTCTCCCCCGTGCTGTGGTTTTCGCAACTTCAGAAGAGTGGTCGCGAATGTGAGGTGGTGTGGTGAATGCTGATCCGGAACAGTTCGGCGCTCGGAGCACGTGTGAACCTATCCGCTCTCGAGTCGCTCTGCATCGCTTTTCCGCCTCATCCTCGTCAGCAAAAACTGGTGGCCCTGAAAACAGGGTGGTAGCAGATTTGACTTCAGTCAGGTGTCCGTTGGGCAGGTTCTTGGTCCTGCACTTGGACATGTCGTGCATTTCTATTTGTGGTGACGAGACCGCCACTTCAGCCACGTAGAATCTCCGCGGGTAAGGGAATGAAAGTGGCCAGCAATGTGGACTTTATTCGAGCCGCGCGCACTGAAAGATTGTTCAGGCAGAGGCACCCTAACTGAAACCCACTTAAACCGTCGTTTATATTTCGGTACCACCGTAGACCGGTTGTCGGTCAATGTTCAATCAGTTGTTGTGTGTTGCTTGAATTGCTGGACCCTGCCTCCAAGACATACTAGGGTTTCGTGTGGCTGGCTGCTGCTGCTGCTTACCACCAATGATGGTTTGGCAGCCGTAGCGGGTCATTTACAGTTGACAGAAATGTTACTTCTGGTGCACGACGATTCAAAGCGGTACAGAAAGTAAAGTGCAAACAAACATGGCTGAGAACCGTATCCACACCCTTAGGCGATTTAGCAAAGCTTTACTCACCACCAACCTTGCTGTGAAACACCCGATTCGTGTTTGTGAGACCCACTCATTCCCTCGCTAAGAACCAGGCCTGAAAGGGTTGGCGGGAAAGGTGATAAGAGGCCATCTGGGCACTAGCAACTCGACTGCATTTGTTTTTATCCCGCGACTACAGGTTTCGCTCCGCCTAAAGCCGTACTTTCGAAACCATCTGCCCAACAACCCTAAGGTTCACGGTGAAACATATTCTAAACAGCATTTCTGACTAAAGCTATTCGTTCGTGCCAATGGAGGCCAGCGTAACGCCAGCATGGAAGGCGCAAGCGCGTACACACGCGACCGCCATTTCCACCGCTTCCACTGCCAACTCTTCCCTCGCGGCTTCTGCTTACGTGTCATCCGCCGTGCCGAAAGCGCACCATCACCACAGCCAACGACGCGCCGGCTTTCTCTGCCCGCGCTCGCGGATCGTTTACATGCGCGCACCGTTCACGCGGCCACACAGGCGACACGTTCCTAGCGTGCTCGTGCCTTCGCGGTCGGGGAGGCGCGGCCGCGGAGACGGCCTTAAATGCGATGTGTTAGTGCCTGGGTGTCCTT